TGCTCTGCTTTCCTGTGCCCCAAGTGTACCAGATGGCTTGGCACAGTCCCAGGGAGCTCACGGGGTCTACCTCGCTCCAAAGGCTTCTGCCCTCTGAACCTGGAGCAAGGCCTGAGGAGTGGGATGCCAGGGCTGGAGGCCAGGAAGGAGGTGGCTGTACAGAGGCCCCACAGGATTTTCAAGGACCTTGGTTCCCTGTGTGTGAGTCATCTATGCTACAAAAGKACACCATCACCACTTAGCACCTAAGACAACACACGTTTATAATCCCCATTTCTGACGGTCAAGAGTCCAAGTGTGGCTCAGTGGGTCATGTGTTCAGGGCCCCACACAGCTGCCACCAAGATGTCAGCAGGCTGGGYCTACCTTGACTCGTGTTCATTCCCTGAGTGCTTGGTGAGTGAGGGCCTTGGCTTCTGGCTGGCTGGAGGCCACCTGGTACTCGGTCACCTGGACCTCCCCATAGCACAACTCTCTTCATCAAAGTTAGCAGGGGACAGACTCCCAACAAGACAACAGTGCAGTCTATGTCATGTAACCAAGGAGATGACAGCCTCCATCACCTTTGTGTGTCCAATGAGTGACAAGCAAGGCACAGGGCCTGACCCTGAGCAARGAGATGAGATTCACAGGGGCAGAGACCTCGGAGGCTGGTTTCCAGTCTGTCTACCCCATCCAGGGAAAGCCACATCATGGCGCCCCATCCCCAGGTCTCCCAAGCCGTGTCAATCTGGGTCAGCTGTGGAGAATCGGTGTCTGCTTTGGAGCCGGCCTTTTAGGATGTCACTGAGATGTGGCCACAGGACCCCCGTGTGTGGAAGCAGGCCTTTCCAGGCTGAGGGCCACCAAAGCAGCCCAGAACACCGAGCGTCCCTTGGGCATTGCTTCTAGGCCTGGACAGCGGGGGCCAGAGACCAAGCCCACACATGCAGCCCTGAAGGGCAGAGGTGGGCGAGATAGTGTCTGCTCCAGAGAGGGGTGCTGCTCCAGCTCCTCGCCAGAGGGGAGATCTGGTGGTGGGTAGGGAAGYACCTTGCAGGGAGCGGCCACAGCAGCCTCCGGGTTTGGCTCTGCCAAGTGCCGCGCACACGTGGACCCRGGACCAGGAGCTCCAAGGGGCTCCCGGGGCTGGTGGATTCCCAGGCCTCCCACAGACACACACTCTCCAGATCCTCACAAAGCAGGCAGGAGGCGGGCTGGGTTTAGGGGACCTTCAGCACGGACCAGAGGGTGAGGTGAACAAGTGCAAGGACCATGAAGAAACGGAACTTGCAGCTGCCTGTGCAGACTGGGYTCGCCCTCCAAGAGCACAGAGGACCAGAGAGGGCAGGGAGAGGACCGAGTGCGACACCAGCAGCCTGGCGTCCATTCACTATCGGGCAAGCCAAGCTGCAGTTTGTGTGGCCTCTGGGCCTCGGCAGGCCAAGTGGGCCTCGGCAGGCCAAGTGGGCCTCGGTTCTTGGTCGAAAGCCACCATGTGAGCAAGGGTAAGTGCTGAAACAGGCTTCTGACTCAGTACACAGAAGAGAAAAGTCAGAACTCAGTCTCCAAAATGGGCTAACCTCCTGCTTCTGCATCAAGGACAGGAGCTCCAGTGAGGTCCTTGGGACTCCCTATCCCAGCTTTGTGTCCTCTTCCTCCCGAAGCTCAAGTCCAGGTTCTCTGGAACCCATACTCTAGCTCTGCAACCAGGGCCCTGCAACCTGGCCCAGTTCTAACCCAAATCCGGGGCCCACCCTCAGACCCCAGGCCGTGGCACAAAGCTCTAGGTCTACCCCCACATACTGGCCCCACCCACACAGCCCCAGGACCCACCCCAAACGCCAGCCACGCCCACACAATCCCAGCCCTGCCCCCACAGGCCAGCCCTCCCCGCCCCTCCTATACACTCTGGGAGTCCTGCATCTTCCAGTGACACCCTGCGGTTGCAGTCTGTGTTGCCGTGAGCCAGCCCCGGATCTCACTCTCTCTAAGTGGAGCCAGTGTTGGGGCTTCGGATTAGGAGAGGGTAAGTGCGGCCCGAGTTGATCCTTGGCGCCAAGGACCCCTTCCAGTCCCTAACTCTGTCCCTAGACTCCGAAGGCTCTGCTGACTCCGTGGACAAGTAGCAGGGCTGGAGTGACCACGYAGACACTGACCCTTTGCGGGATCCCTGGGGCAAGGGGTGGGACACTGGCTTGCAGGCCTCACTTGTGGGCTGGGATGACTCCCTAAGGTCAGCAGTTTGCACCCACCCAGAAGGTTAGCACGCCCCCCTCTGGAGAATCTGGGTAGGAAGGAGCTGCAGAGCCTGGACAGAGGCTGCTATGAAACGCAGCCATGATAAAGAGCGCTTCAACCGGAAGCTGTTGCCATCGGCTCCGGGTACACCTGACCGGGYGAGACTTGCAAACCATCGGCATCTCTTATTGGGGGTTGTACTTGGGCAGTGCCCAGCAATGCCAGCCAGCTGTATGCCTGGGTCTGRCCCAGCCCTCACGGGTGGGTGGCCAGTGAGACACACCCGGGGCTGGTCCTCTGGCAGTCAAGGCCTTTCCATGTCAGGGCTACAGACCCTCTTCCCCTGAGAAGCCAGTGCCACCTGAGGGTCTGCGGAGCTTAATTCAAAATTGTCAGAACCTGTGTTCATCTGAATTGCAATTCTCTGGCCCCAGGTAACATTCTTTTGCATTTATAATTTCTGAGCTTCAACAGCCTGGTGGAYAGCAGTGTTCACTGGGGACTGTGGACCAGGAGCCAAGGGGTTGGGCCTCAGCCCTGCCAGACACAGTCCTGGCCTGGGGCTTGTCCGTCCAGTCCCACAGCATAGCGGGAACTCCAGTCACGCTCGAAGAGTTGCCGCAGTTGTTCCTGTGCGGGCTGCACCCCGGCCTGGGCACCGGGGGCCCTCTGGCTGACCACCAGACCCACGCCCGACGTGCTGCTGAAGTAATCCTCCGACCAGTTGGAGGTGCCTGGGGAGGAGGTCCAGAAGAGAGGCTGGGGTGCTGGGCTCAGCCCCTGCCACAGGCCCTGGACTGTGGCCCCAGCTGTAGGTTGGGGACAGTGGGCACACCGGCTGCTCTGCTATCAGTCCAGCCAGGGCAGGTGCAGGAACTCCACCAGGTCACCGTGGGATGGACATCCTGGGCCCTGCAGCYCAGGATTCCTCTGCCTGCCCCTGTGACAGATGCCTGGTCCCCAGAACTCCTCTGGAGACCCTGACCGCCTTCAGCAGTACCCAGGTGTCCCAGCTGCTCACCTATGTAGGCTGCCTTCTCTGTGACCAGGAACTTGTTGTGGTTCACCCGGCTGAAGGGGATGTTGGAGTGATTCCCCACAGGCACGATGAAGACTTTCTTTGGAACAGAGA